AATATAACCTGCTTGGTTCATATAATATTACTTGATAAAAATTAATAAAAACAAAAGACTTCAGTAATAATTTTTAAAAATAGAAATACTTTAAAACTTCCGTGTGGGGCTGAAGAGATGGTTCAGACATTAAAGGCTAGTCTCACATAAAAATAACAAAATTCAGTCTGTTTGAAATATATTTTAGAAGTCTGTGATATCCTGTAAAATGAAAACTAAGTTACAAACTTCTTATTCCTAAAGTGAAGAATCAGATAAAGGTAAAACCAAAATTTAATATTGTGAATAACTCATGTATAGGCAGCCATATACACATAGACAAGTATAGTCCTCATTAAAATTTTCAAAAACTAGCTAGCAGCACACAATGGGGAAAACTGCATATGTTTGAGTAAAATGGAAGTTTAATTCCATTCATACAAACATTGATTACTTAATTGTCACAATCAAAGTCCAAGGAGGGAAACACATAAGAGGTCCATGCATATCTTTGTTTGAATTTATACCAATATGCATACTTTCTGTTAACATTTATAGAAAGACTAAAAATTATATTGTAGCTTCACTAAGGATAATTTTATTAATTGTAGGTTTGGGTCAGTTCTGTCGCAGTGTGTTGGGTGTTTTCCTTAAATATCCTTCTATTCAATCAATATTACACATGCAAGTATAAGCTTTATGAATTTAGTGACCTTGATATTTTTGTCCTAAGAACATTGAAGGCATAAAAAATCATCAATATTCATTATCAAGCATATTAGGTATCCTATCTTCTGGCCTTGACCTTTGGAATAGTGTGAAAATAAAAACTTTGAACATAAAAGTCCTTTTTTATCAGGTGTGGGAAAAAAGTTACATTGTAAATATGTCCCTGTGGACATGACGTTCAGAATCAAAACTGTTGATTTACTTCTACAGTACAGTTTTATGTGAGTGAGTGTGTGTGTTTGTGTGTGTGTTTGTGTGTGTGTGTGTGTGTTTGTGTGTGTATACAATTTTGGGGTTATCCATATCAATTTACTAATTTTCATAGATAGCTGGATCACATTTTTCTGCTGAAAATCCTTCACACATTTAAATTAGAAAACACCAAGCTTATTGAAAGCTGTATGAATCATTGTTATTTTAAGCCTTTGTTCAGTTATTTTTGTTTGTAGTGAATTTAATTTTTATCATCAGTCACAATCAGTGGGCTAGGAGGAAAGGATATGAACCAATTTTATAATCTCTTACCCCATATTCATATGCTATAAATCTTCATATCTGGCTGCAATGCTTGACAATAATACAGTGACTATTTTGTAACAATTGATAAAGACAGACTAAGTGCAAAACTAGAAAACTAAGATGTCAAAACACAGAGAATAAACTCATCATGACATTGGTTATCTCTTCAGTTAACCAACACTGAAATTCTTTCAATGTGGGATACTCTTTCCCCGTATTACATAAGCCTGTTTTAGTCATATTTTCTAATAATTGCAGGGAAATTCCAAAAAAAAAACACTGTACAGAAAGGCCTTTGGATCAACCAATAAAAATATATCAGTCCAAGAATAACTAGCTTGCCTATTCATGAACACAAAAATAAATCACTGAAAGTTATCTTCACAGATCGCATGCACATCAAAGATTTACTACTAACCAATTTTTCTTTAGAACATGTTCATTTTTCAGTAACACTGTCAAATTTGACTTGATATACTTACTGTGGTAGCTTCCATGAAGATCTGAAAGTTAACTGGCCTGTATTAAATACGTCTTGGACCTGAGACAGAATATGACTAATTATGTGAAAATATTTTCCAGACTGTGACTTTTCTTCCTTAAGCTCTAATCTGCTGAGATAACTGGCTAAGGAATTTCTTTACATTTAATATGGTAAGAACAGTCAATCTTGTATAAAACTAATACCATCTTTTTTGCTGGAGGAATTTCTATCCCCATTATCTTTCTGTGCATTTTAAACTCTTACAGCCCTCCAGCAAAAGGCATTAGCTTTATACAGAAACTTGCCATTTATAATCATTCTGGTAAAACTATTATGATAACACACACACACACACATACATATGTATATATTAAATTTTTTGCTGGGCAGAGGTGGTACATACCTTCAATTCAGCACTCAGTAGGCTGGGGACTGCCATTGCATTTCCCATGCCTGCTGGAGCCAATGCACCCCAGCATCATAGACCATTTGTCCACCCATGGGACCAGGAAGAGAAGAGGGACTTGCTTGCACTCACCAGAAGGGAAACCTGGTCCCCTATCAACCAGTAGAGGAAGAGGCTCTTTCTGCACCCACTGGAAGAAGGGATGGGAAGGAGACGATATGAAAACACACTCAGCAACAGAAAAACAAATATGTTACTCCCAGAATGTAGAAACTCTACACCAGCAAGACTGGACCATTCCAATACACCTGAAACAGAAGAGAATGACCTTAAAAACAACTTCATGAAAATGATAGAGGCCATCAAATAGGATATAAGAAAATCCCTTAAGGAGATGGGAAAAAAAACCAAACCAAAAATTCAAAAAATTCAAGAAATGGAGGAAAAGAAAAATTGCAAGAAAAATTCAAACAGTGCAAGGTTTGGAACCCGAAATAGAGACAATAAAAAAACAGAGTCTGAAGGAATGCTGGAAATAGAAAAGCTGGGAAATGGTCAGGTACTAAAGATGCCAGCCAACCAACAGAATACAAGAGATGGAAGAGAGTATTTCATGAGTTGAAGATACACTAGGAAAAATGGATTCAGTGACCAAAGACAATCTTCAGTCCAACAAATCCTTAACACAAAATATCAAGGAAATATGGGACACTGTGAAAAGACCCAGCCTAAGAATAATAGGTATATAATGTTTTAAAAAATAAATTATCTACAGTCGTGGCTTTCTACATGACCACGAGACAATCTCACAGGAAGGGGGCAACACTCTTAGAGAAGTTTTTGTGCCCAATTAGCACCCAGCAGAGAGCTACTGCAGGTGGGTGTTTCTCAGAAGGTCCTCACAGCAGTGCAGGGTGGTGGCATTTAGCGCTCCTCTTCTATACACAGAAAAACTCCCAAGGCCTGGGAGGGTTAGGTGTTCAGAGAAAAAAAAGAATAATAGGTATAGAAGAGGTGACAAAGCCTACCTCAAATGGGCAGAAAACATATTAAACATAATCATAGAAGAAAACTTTTCCAACCTAAAGAAAGACATGCCAATGAAGATACAAGAAGCTTACAGAACACCAAATAGAGTGGACCACAAAAAAGTCCCCTTGACACATAATAATCAAGACCCAAAACATACAAAATAAAGAAAGACTATTGAGACCAGCTAAGGAAAAGTTCAAGTAACATATAAAGGCAAACCTATCAGGATTACATCTGACTTCTCCATGGAAATTCTGAAAGGCAGAAGGTCCTGGGTAGATTATTCTACCAACACTAAGAGTCCGCAGATGCCAGCCCAGACTACTATAATAGAAAAGCTTTCAATCACTATAAATGGAGAAAACAAGATATTCCTTGACAAAACCACATTTAAACTATATATATATATATGACGTGCACTCTTTCTGCTTGCCGCCTGGTTCCTGTTGCTGCTTTCAGCCCCCAAATAACACAGAAGACACTATATTAACTATGAAGCTATTGGCTGTTTGCTTGGTTTCTTATTGGCTAGCTGACTTTATTATTGACACATAATTATTAATATATATTTTATAAAGACTTATCTTTAGGAGGACACACTCCTGCCTCGTCCTTTCATCCCGGGAGATCACATGGTGACCAGTCTATTTACTGCATTTCCCAGAATCCTCCTAGACTCCTAGTCCGACCTATCTAGCTTCCTTATTGGCCAACAGTGTTTTATTCAACAACCAATAAGATAAGCACATACACAGGACTTCCCCCATCACATATCCACTAACCCAGCCCTACAGAATGTTCTGGAACAAAAACCCTAACCCAAGGAAGTTAAATACAACCAGAAAAACATAGGCAATAGAAAATCCCACGTTACCAACAGCCAAAAGAAAAAGGAATGGAAATTCACATATAATTCCACCAACAAAAACCATTCCAAAACAAACAAGAATGAGCAGTCAATGGTCATTAATATCCCTCTATATTATTAATGGGCTTAACTCACACATAAAAAGACACAGGCTAACAGAATGGATTCGAAGACAGAATCCATCCTTCTGCTGCATATAAAAACACATCTCAGTTTCAAAGACAGATGTTACTTCAGAGATAAGGCTTGGGAAAAGATTTACCACTCAAATGGACCCAAGAAACAAGCAGGACAAGTGATCCTTATATCTAACAAATAAGACTTTAAACTAAAATCAATCAAAAGAAATGAAGGAGGTCATTTTATACTCATCACATGAGAAATCCACTAAGATGAAGTCTCAATTCTGAACATCTATATGCCAAATACGAAGGCATCCACGTTGTAAAAGAAACATTACTAAAACTCAAATCACATATAAAACCTCACAAAGTTATAGTGGGAGACTTTATCACGCCACTCACACCACTAGACAGGACTACCAGACAGAAATTTTAAAAAGAAACAAAGGAACTTATAGAACTTATGACCCAATTGGGTTTAACCGACATGTATAGAACATTCCATCCAAACACAAAAGAATATACCTTCTCAGTGCCACATGGGACCTTCTCAAAAATCGACCACATAGTTGCAACATAGCAAACCTCAACAGGTACAAAAAAATTGGAATGACTCCATGTATCTTATCAAAACACCATGCTTTATATTTAGAATTCAACAACAACACAAATTGAAGAAAACCTACAAACTCAAGGAAATTGAATAATGCATAATTTCACCATTCATGGGTCAAAGAAGATATTAAAAAAGAAATTTGAGATTCCCTAGAATTCAAGGAGAATGAAGGCACAACATACCCAAACTTATAGGACACTTTGAAAGCAGAGCTAAGAGGAAAGTTCATAGCACTAAGTGCCCACATGAAGAAACTGGAGAACAGTCCCACCAGAGAATTAGCAGTTCAACTGAAAGCTCTAGAACGAAAAGAAGCAAACTTACCCAGGAGGTAGATGCCGGGAAATAATCAAATTGAAGGCTGAAATCAATAAAGTAGAAACTAGGAAAACAATACAAAGGATCAATATAACAAAGAGTTGGTTATTTGAGAAACTCAACAAGATAGACAAACCTTTACTGAAACTTACCAAACAAGTAGAGTTTGAACCTGCAAATAAACAAAATCAGAACTGAAAAGGTGGCCATAACAAGGGACACTGAAGAAGTCCAGAGAAGAAAAATCCAGCAGATCCAGGTAAACAAAGCACCTGCATCCTGGCATGCCTTCCAGTGAATGGGGAAGGCCGCAGAACTTCCCATACTGGCAGGAGCCAAATAGGCCAGGTACCAGGTCTTCTCTTCCAACAAGGAGACCAGGGGACCAGCTGGTCAAACAGGACAAGGTAAAACAGGCCCTACATCCAGGCCTGCATTTCAGTGTCTGGGGATGGGCTGGGAATGGCACAGAGGTTCCCATCCTGGGGGGAGCCAAGCACCCCAGATTCCAGGTCTTCTCTTCCACCACAAGACCAGTAAACCAGCAGATACAGGGAAAGAAGGCCCTGCATCCGGGCATGCCTTCCAGTGACTGGGGAAGGCCACAGAGCTTCCCATCCCAGCAGGAGCACCCCTGATACCAAGTCTTCTCATCCAACAAAGGGACCAGGGGACCAGGTAGAAGGCTAAGCACCCCAGATTCCTGGTATTCTTCTCCACCCATGGAATGAAAACTAGGAAGAGGAATAGAACAACTACCATATTATTGGACTTGCTAGCACCCACCAAAAGGGAACTCTGGTCCCCTAACCACCAGACCAGTAAGGGGCTCTTTCTGCACCCACTAGAAGAAGAGATGGGAAAGAGACAATACAAAAACACACTCAGCAACAGAAAAACAAATATGACACTACCAGATTCAAGAGACTCCACACCAACAAGACTCCAACATTCCAACGCAAATGAAGCAGAAGAGAATGAACTTAAAACAACATTAATGAAAATGATTGAGGCCCTAAAAGAGGATATAGGAAAATCCCTCAAATAAATGGATGAAAAAAGAAACCAAAAAATTACAAGAAATGGGAAAAAAACAAAAAGGCAAAAAATGGAACACAAAACAAACCAAAAAATGCAAGAAATAGAAGAAAAAACAAAAATTACAAGAAATGGAAGAAAAAGCAAACCAAAAAATGCAAGAAATAGAAGAAAGAACAAACCATAAAATTCATAAAATGCAACAAATGTATGAAAAGATAAACCGAAAATTGAAAGAAACAATTCAAACAGTGCAAGAGTGAAAACTGAAATAAAGACAATAAAAAAACACAATCTGAAGAAAGGCTGGAAATAGAAAAGCTGGGCAAATGGTCAGGTACTCCTGATACAAGCATTACCAACAGAATACAAGAGATCTCAGGTGTTGAAGATAAACTAGGAGAAATGGATTCATCAACCAAAGAAAATCTTAAGTCCAACAAATCCTTAACACAAAACATCCAGGAAATATGGGACAACATGAAAAGACAAAACCTTAGAATAATAGGTATAGAAAAAGGTGAAGAAAACCACCTCAAAGGGGCAGAAAACATATTCAACAAAATCATAGAAGAAAACTTACCCAACCTAAAGAAAGACATGCCAATGAAGGTACAAGAAGCTTACAGAACACAAATAGAGTAGATCACAAAAAAAGTTCCCTCACCACATAATAATCAAGACCCCAAATATACAACATAATGAAAGAACATTAAGAGCAGCTAAGGAAAAAGCCAAACCTATCAGAATTACACCTGACTTCTCCATGGAAACTCTGAAAGCCAGAAGGTCCTGGATAGATATTCTACCAACACGAAGAGACCATTGATGCCAGCCCAGACTACTATACCCGGCAAAGCTCTCAATCACTATAGACGGAGAAAACAAGATATTCCATGACAAAACTAGATTCAAGCAATATGTATCCACTAACCCAGCCCTCTGGAAGTAAAACTCCAACCCAAGGAAGTTAACTACAACCAGAAAAACATAGGCATTAGATAATCCCACTTTACCAACAGCCAAAAGAACAAAGGGGTGGAATTCCACACATAATTCCACCAACAACAACAATTCCAAATCAAAGAAGAATGAGAAATCAATGGTCATAATATCCCTCAACATTAATGGCCTTAACTCACCCATAAAAAGACACAGGCTAGCAGAATGGATTCAAAGACAGAAGCCATCATTCTGTTGTGTACAAGAAACACACCTCAACCTCAAAGGTAGACATTACCTGAGAGTTAAAGCTTGGAAAAAGATTTTCTAATCAAATGGACCCAAGAAACAAGCAGGGGTAGCAATCCCAATATCTAACAAATTAGACTTTAAAATAAAATCAATCAAAAGAGATGAAGGAGGTAAGAAGGTCATTGTATACTCATCATTGATGAAATCCATCAAGATGAAGTTTCTATCCTGAACACCTATGCCGCAAATACGAAGGCATCCACATTCGTAAAAGAAACATTACTAAAACTTAAATCACATATGAAGCCCCACACACTTATAGTGGGAGATTTCAACACCCAACTCTCACCACTAGACAGGAATAAAAGACAGAAACTCAACAAAGAAGCAAAGGTTCTAGTAGAAGTAATGACCCAACTGGGATTAACAGAAATCTATAGAACATTTCATCCACATAAAAAAAGAAAATACCTTCTTCTCACCACCACATTGTACCTTCTCAAAAATTGACCACATACTTGGCAACATATCAAACCTCATCAGCTAAAAAAGTTGGAATATCTCCATGTATCTTATAAGACCTCTATGCTTTAAAGTTAGAATTCAACAACAACACAAACTGCAGGAACCCTACAAACTCATAGAAATTGAATAATGTGCTATTGTACTACGCCTGGATCAAAGAAGAAATAAAAAAATAAATTGAAGACTTCCTAGTATTCAATGAGAATGAAGACACTACATACCCAAACCTATGGGACACTTTGAAAGCAGTGCTACGGGGGAAGTTCATAGCATTAAGGGCCCACATGAAGAAACTGGAGAATAGCTATACTAGAGAATTAACAGCACAGATTAAAGCTCTAGAACCCAAAGAAGCAAACTCCCCCCAGGAAGAGTAGACACCAGGTAATGATCATTGAAGGCTGAAATCAATAATCTAGAAACTAGGAAAACAATACAAAGAATCAATACAACGAAGAGTTGGTTCTTTGAGAAAATCAACAAGATAGACAAACCTTTGTCCAAACTTACCAAACAGCAGAGTGTGAACATGAAAATTAAAAAAATCAGAAATGAAAAGGGGGACATAACAATGGACTCTGTGGAAATTCGGATAATCATCAGGTCATACTTTGAACGCCTGTACTCCACAAAATTAGAAACTTTAAAGGAAATGGACAATTTTTTGGATAACTGTCACTTGCCAAAATTAAATCAAGAGCATATAAGCAATTTATATAGACCTATATCCCCTAAGGAAATAGAAGCAGTCATCAAAAGTCTCCCAACCAAATAAAGCCCAGGTCCAGATGGCCTCAGTGCAGAATTCCACCAGAAATTCAAAGAACACCTTATACAAATTTTTCTCAAAGTATTCCATGCAATAGAAGCAGAAGGGTCTTTACCAAACTCTTTCTATGCGGCTTCAATAGCCTTGATCCCCAAGCCACACAAAGACACAACTAAGAAAGAGAGCTTCAGGCCAATATGCCTCATGAATATAGATGTAAAAATACTCAATAAAATACTGGCAAATCAGATTTAAGAACACATCAAAACAATCATTCTCCACGATCAAGTAGGTTTCATCCCAGGGATACAGGGATGGTTCAACATAGGAAAATCCATCAATGTAATCCACCACATAGACAAGCTGAAAGACGAAAATTGCATGATTATCTCACTAGATGCTGAAAAGGCCTTTGACAAAATCCAACACCCATTCATTTTAAAGGTCATGGAGAGATCTTGGACAGCTGGAACATACCTAAACATAATAAAAGCTATATACAGCAAACCAACAGCCAACATCAAACTAAATGGACAGAAACTCAACACAATTCTGCTAAAATCAGGAAGAAGACAAGGCTGTCCACTCTCTCCATACCATTTCAGTATTTTACTTGAAGTTCTAGCCAGAGCCATATGACAACAAAAGAGGATCACGGAGATACAAATTTGAAAGGAAGAGGTCAAGCTTTCACTATTTGCAGATGATCTGATAGTTTACATAAATGAACCAAAGAATTCTACCAGGGAACTGTTGCATCTGAGTAACACCTTCAGCAAAGTGGCAGGCTACAAGATGAACTCAAGAAAATGAGTAGCCCTAATATATACAGATAATAAAAGGGCTGAGAAAGAAATCAGAGAAACATCACCCTTTACAATTGCCACAAACAACATAAAATACCTTGGGGTAATGCTAATCAAACAAGTGAAAGACCTGTATTGTAAGAACTTTGAATCTTTAAAGAAAAAAATTAAAGAAGCCCTCAGAAAATGGAAAGATCTCCCATGCTCTTGGATAAGTAGAATCAATGTAATAAAAATGGCAATCCTGCCAAAAGCAATCTATAGATTCAATGCAGTCGCCATTAAAAGACCAGCACAATTCTTCACAGATCATGAAATAACAATAACCAATTTTGTATGGAAAAACAAAAGGCCCAGGATAGCCAAAACAACACTATACAATAAAGGAACTTCAGGAGGCATCACCATACCTGACTTCAAGCTCTATTATAGAGCTATATTTCTGAAAACAGCTTGGTATTGGCACAAAAATAGACAGGTGGGCCAATGGAATCGAATTGAAAACCCTGATATTAACCCACACATGCATGAACATCTGATCTTTGACAAAGAAGCTAAAAATATACAATGGAAAAAAGAAAGCATCTTCAACAAATGGTGCTGGCATAACTGGATGCTGGCATGTAGAAGAGTGCGGATCGATCCATGTCTATCGCCATGCACAAAACTTAAGTCTAAATG